TTTCCTGTCACACGCGCACAAATCATGATCTATGATACTCAAATAGGTATATAGAATAGATAGATAGATATCGATAGATAGGTAGATAGATAGATAGATAGATAGATAGATAGATAGGTAGATAGATAGATAAATAGATAGACAGATATATATATATTTATTCTTTAAATGTAAGTAATTTTGTGAAGTACATTTTAGCAATAGATAGATAGATGGAGTCTGTCACCCTATCTGACAGTTTAAAGACCTCTTAAAGTGATTCCATTGTTAATGCCCCCCAGTGAAATGAGCTTTATCAGCGCCAGAGTCTCAGTGGCAGTAAACCAAGACACTTTCACCTCAATTTAAGTAGTGCTAGTGAACTCTTGTTTCCCTGGAAACCAATCCAACTTCCAAAGATAAACCCCGCCCCAAAAACTGCAAGCCCTCTCTTGGGTGTGACAACAAGGACGATTCCTCCTCAACAAAAGAATTGTGTGGGTACAAAAGTAAGTGATATTGAAACGGGATGAGCCAGCAAATTTATTTCCCCCCTTCTCCTGCCCTGACGAATGAATGGATACGTGCAGGTAGGTGGTCACACCCAGGGGAGCTGATGAAGTTGGTGGCAGTTTTGCTGCATTGATATTATGGTGATGATCATTGCAAAAACAGGGTGAATACGTTATAGCTCTTAGCAGCATTCAATTGACTTTTATTTCCCTTAGAAGGGCCAAAAAGTATTATTATTATTATCCTCTTGTAGACATGATAACAGAGAAATGCTCTATCATTACATTTTAACATAAAATAAAACAAAATATGTATTTGAAGGGTTGCAACTAACTTTCTTTTTGAATCACTTTATTAAATTCCATCTTAAAACGACTTATTATCAAAGGTATTCACTTTAACATTATGGAATAGAATGAAAAAATGAAATTTGAAAGCATTTTTGACCTAATAAATGACCAAAATGATCAATAGATGATCAAAAGTGCCTCTTTATGAATGTTAATAATTGTTTCAGCTCTAATGCATTAATACAAAAAAACATTAACAGGGTTAGTATTTACTATACGTTTGTGTTTTCAAAATGTCACGTCTGCTTTTAGGAGGAGGGGTGAGAAGGAATGTCAATGTGAACAGAATCCTTTGGTGCAGGTTTAACAAACGGCAATCCTTGTTTTTTAAGTGCATGACCCATTTTTCCTTCAAAAAGCAGAAATAATATTAAAAATCACAATGCATGCAAATCCTTTGGAAGTTAATTCCAGCCTGCATAATTTCTTCATCTCAACTCCACAATAATTAGTGTGGCTATCCCAGTGGAGTCACAGTACAGTATGAGGCTTTGGATAGAGATAGTAATAGTCATAATACACTTATTATATCTTTGGGCATGTTGAGGAAGCATCCCTTAATCATGTCATGAGATCAACTCTTTGTTATCTACCATACTGTACAAACAGCTCCTGATAATGCATAATAGAAGACACCTAATAACCGGGTGTCTAATAATATAATAATAATGTATCCATAAGCTCTAAATCCTGATTTACCTGAGACCAGCGTGCTGCTGCACTGCCAGTTGTCGGTGCTGGCAGGCTTCCAGCAGGACTCCCACAGGGACAGGTAGTACTGGTCGTCGGCAGTCACCCACGCGGGGCTCATCACGGCACCCACATCCAGGCAGAGCGCGAGGAAGACGCACACCAGCCCGACCAGCTTCAGCGGCGTGATCGGTGAGCTGCGCGCCGAATCCTCCGTCTCGGTGACCGCAGAAGGCATAGCGCGGAGAAGGGGACCGCTTCAGAAACAGGAGAGAGAGCTGGTGTGTGGATGTACTCCTTCCCTCCTGATGATGATGGATGCGAGTGGTGTTGTTTCCGCTGCTGGTGGACCCGCAGCCGCCTGCGTTACGCGCTGATCGGGCGCTGTGCCTATTGGCACCGCTCCGCCGCGCACCGGAGACCTCCCCGTTTACCGCGCTGACGTCAAGGCTCCGAGGTATCAGCAGGTGCCACAGGGTCCTAAAGAGAGAGAGGGGAGAGAAGAGCCCCTAACTCAGGACTGGAGATGTTGGCAACACTGAGAACCTGAGACCAAATTCATAGAGACTTGGAGCCATTTACCAAACTCTGTGTGCACATCAGAAACACGTTTATTAAGTAGGTTTACACATACCAGGAATTTGCAAGATGCTTTGTAAGAAAAGCACCACACAATTATTATAACAGAGAGATAAAGAGCAATGTTTACATGAAATACCAACACAAATAGGTACGTACGATTTGACAAGATCATTTTGTTAATATTTGCCAACATTTTTCTTATTTATTGCTATACAATGACCAAGACTTACCGTGTGTTAATTAGGCTACATCCCCCTTCTTTATAGCCAATGTTTTAAGCTATTCTATATGTACATTTTTTTTACTAGGGCAATTCTAATTCTAATCAATTTTCCCCAACTTTAGTTATGTTGTTGTAGTTGATTTGGCCTGCAACACATTTTTAAATATGCCTATCAACTCTTAGAAATACCCATCCAGACATTTTCAAATCCATAGTTGCCTTAAAGGTGGGGTACTGTAAAAAGCACGACCAATCATCTGAGCCTGCCCGGCTAAAATAACTGGATGGCCTACCTGCCTGTCAGCCTTCCATCTGTGCACACATTTATCTCGTGCCCTCATTGGTCATGTGCGCGTTCGTGTGTGTTGGAGGAGGGGCTCTGGAAGGAAGTGGCAGATTTTTTCCGGCTGTGTATTTTCAAATTCTAGCGCACTCGAGCTGGATTCTCAAAAATGACCTACCCCACCTTTAAGTCTTTAGCCAAGTGGTTTCATTAGTCACTCTTCCATTAAATTAAGTAGTCTTTCTTTGAATTATGGGCTGTTGGTCAGACAAAAAAAGGCATTAGGATGACACCTTGAGACTAGTGGGAATTTTCGACTATTCACTGATATATATCAAAATCGATCGATCTAATAATGAGTAGTTGAATACAGCAATATGTTGTATTGCTTATCAATGAAACTTTTGTTTGTAAGAATATCAACAATGTCATGTTTCATAGTCTTGCTTTGAAGTCCACTTGCTTTATTAGAATGCATAAAAAAGGATGACATCATCACTTAACAAAAAATCCCCAATTGATCGTGAGACATTATTAAAAAAAAGCCCTTAAAACCTTTATTTATGACTTAATAAAACAGAGTTTGGATTCATTATTAGATTAGGCATTGGGTTCTTGCATTAGAGGAAGAAGCAAAAAGGAAATGGAGGGCAGAGTGATGGAGGAAGTGGGAGGCACATGAAGGAATATTATTGTTTCTCCTCCTCTGCATACTAATGCAAAGCCAGATATGAGATGGAGAGAGACAGGAGGGGGAGGAAGAGGAGGCAGAGGTGAGCAGGTTTAGGGAGGAAGAGCCGTCCATGTGTTTATTGAGGCGGAGAGAAAGGAAGGATGGAGAGAACGATGGAAGGAAAAGATGGCCTTGTTTACTCTCAATCAGGGCCGTAATGAGCGATGATGAGGAAGAGACAGGGGGAGGCAGGGGAGAAGAGAGGGAAGGGCAACAGATAGAGGTGAGATAGATGGAGGGATGGCAGCCTGGAGGAATAAAGATAGAGGTCTTAATGAATAGACTTTTTAATAAGAGCGCTTAATGAGGAAATACTTCCACACCGCCACATCATCTGCATACATTTACTCTTATCAACAAAGTTAAACTGTAGACACATTAGTGAGTAATAAAGGAACCAGCAAGAGTCAAGGAAGGTAGTGATATTGATTGTTTATGTATTATAAATGTCACACAAGGAAGATTCAAAAGGGATGGAGTAAAGGAAAAGCTGCAAAAGCATTTACTGGAAATATAATGCAACTTGTCAAAGAAGTCTGTATTGTGTTGCAAAGGATATCTACTGAAATTAGCATGCTAACTGAATATAATTAGCATATCTTGAAAATAGAATTGAATAACTCAGAAAAAAAGTAACTTTTCTTGACATATAGATAAAGTTGTGTCTCAATATATGCAACTTCATTGTTGCAGAGAGATGAAAGCAATCAACAAATGGAAGGATGTATTATTAATGCCCGGTAGTTGCCTTCCAATCCAAATCATTTGAATGTGCATTTGCTGGGAAGACAATACAGATGGGCGATGAAGATAAGTGAAGTGAGTGAGACTGAGTTCCTCTTCATGACTATCTGAGATTATGGTCTGGTGCTGCTGTAGAACGTCACTCTTTTGACTTCTTCCTGAACGTCTGTGAAGAGACGTGTAAGAGGGTTGGGAGCTCAAGTTAATAAACGATAAAAAAAAGGGACTTCAAAAACTTTAGAAGTGCTCACCTGTCAAACAGATGAAGTAAAGGTGATCTCCACACGGGACATCCGTCCAATGGAAGGGGTCGCTGGTGTCGACGCCCCCACAGGGACTGGAGATTTGCAAGGGGGAATGTGTCTTCCAGTAGCTGTAGTTTACTGAGGCGCCAGACATCCAAAACCAAATGCTATCCATCAGGTACCTAATAGTGAGGATATTTGAACTTTAAACGTAAAGATTTTTGAGAGAGAGTCATATGGAGGGCTAATGATTTTATACAATGTTCCTGAATAGTATACAATGGCTTGGTTTACCTTTACATAGTCATTTTAATATATAAAGATGGAGAAAGAGAGAGGTAGGCAATATGCATTATAGTATTTTACTGTACTGTCTATGTTACTGTTAAAGATTCCTCACAATCATTAAGAGTTTTTACAAAAAATGAAAGATGAGAGAATCCACCTTTGATGAAGTGGGCCTTGTTATTAGACAGTACCTGCGCAGTCCCATCCAAACATGCTGTGTGAGGGGGAAGGAGGCGTTTCTCAGCACCTCCTCCACCTCCTTCTGCTCCCCCTTACTGCGGATGCTGAGCAGGTCCCAGTAGAAGTCTCTGCAGTAGAACAGAGCATCCGACCAGCACAGCTTCTTCTCCACCACCACGATACCCCGGCCCGACACAACCGCACTGAAGGAGGGCGAGGGAGCAGCCAGTTCTGGGAAATGTGGGCAAAAGTTCAGGTAGTTTGGAGATTCAGGAGGAGATTTATGGACTAAATGTCATGTGTTGTTGACTTACCTCCATACACTTCCACCTCACACAATGTCAATACACTGTTAGGGCGATTGAGACTAATTCTGACCAAACGACCTATCATCCCTCCGCACTCGAAAGTGTGAGTACCTCCAGATGGTATGGATGTAACAACAGCACAACTGAAAAACAGACAACACAGGAATTAAAGCATCATCTGTTCTTTATAAACATGGTTGGTACATTGAGTGGGAAAAAGTTGGTGTGAGAAAACAGATTATTCTGACCACTTTTTGGAAGTGGAAATGTGAGCACAAGGACAGGGAAATGTTTATTGTTCTCGAGGATTACCTTGGGTTGTTGCCACCGTTGTTCTCTAGTGAATTCCCAATGAGGATCTCAGCAGAATCGAGCCGTTCAGGAATGTGAATTCTGTGGTGATGCTAACAGATGTCGATCCTGTACACGGCCGGCAGGAGCAATTTCCACCAGAGGTTCTCTCCTGGATACGCTGTATGGGTGCACGGATCCAGCCGAGAATCTGGGTTACTGTTTCCATCGATGGCTACTGGAAGCAACACCACCCTCACCTGTCGAGACTTGAGATGCGGCTCCACTGGAGTCACGTTTGACAAAGAGGAACCTTGTGGTAGACAAAAACAAACAGAAAAACTCTTGCACAATCCTTCCATCTCCATTTTTTTTAAAACAATGTGTAGACTCCAGTATACAGTATGGTTGTTGCAGTAGAAACTATCAAGAAACACATATCTATTAACAACCCTGAAATGTGTTTGACAATTAAGTAATACAGTATTTTTTTATCATTGCAATTGTATAATTGACTTTTTAAGACTTTTTTCACAAAACACCAGACAACCATTTGTGTAGAAAACACATAAATCAGCAGGATCTTACCTGTGAAGTCAGGGAGGAGCCACAACAGGAGGACAAGCCCTTTGAAATGAAAAGGATTCATCATTTAGAACAAGGAGCTTCTGATGCGCTTCTCAAGGACGGACCGACCAGATACATCACACAGCTCAAGTGTGCATTGTGAAGGTTGATTTATAAAGCAACCTGTCAAACTGGTCATATTCAAATGAATTAAAATCCTTTGAATCCTGTCAATGCAAATACACGTAGATATGTAAATCCTC